GTATCACTAGCTCTGCAATCTTTGGGCATACAGGTCCCAAAAATACAACATTCATGCGTCTCGCCACTCCCTCCCTGGACGTTACAGAACCCAAACTTTTGTCTCAAACTCTCGAAATTCTTAAAGGTGAACACCCATCCTTACATTTATAAGCATGGGTTCCTTAAAATCAAAAACCATTTCAAAAATGCAACCTTCGCTTACACGGATGGATCCAAGAGCACAGAAGGGGTCGGTGCCGCATTCGTGTCAGGCGGTAGGAAACATTCTTTCGCACTCTCACCACTATGTAGCAACTATAGTGCAGAACTTCTAGCGATCAACAAATGTCTAAACATAACAGCCTTGACAAGAAATCATCTAATCCTGTGTACTGATTCTCTTTCGGCAGTATATGCTTTAAAAGATATTTTCAGCCTGAACCCCCTCGTACATGAAATTCACTCTACCATAAAGGACTTTTAGTGCAAAAATTTACAAGTCACTGCCATGTGGATACCAGGGCACTGTGGGATAACCGGAAATATTGAGGCATACAAAGCGGCCAGAAGTGCCCGGAGAGAAGGTCATAAAATAAGTGAGGTGCCGCAAGAAGACTTCGTTACGCATGTGAAGACCAAAACAAAAGAAAAATGGCAACTAGAATGGTTCAATATTAGAGAAAACAAACTAAGAGCCGTTAAAGCGGACCCAGGACTATGGACCACCTCAGATAGACTGTCTAGAAAAGAAGAATGTATACTTGCGAGACTCGGGATAGGGCATACACGAATTACACACGGGTATTTAATGGCACGCGAACCTCCGCCTATGTGCGTGACATGTGGAGTTTTAACCACAGTCAAGCACATACTTAATGCTGTAACTGTAATATATACAGAAGGGCACGCATGAGCAGTGGGTTGCCCGCCTCTCTACCCGAATTGCTAAATGACAGGGAAACAACAATATCAAGATTATTTAAATTTGTAAGGGAAACAGAATTGATTGGTAAAATCTGATTTATGGGGTGAAATAAAGAGGTGGTGCCTGTGGCTGGCGGATGGCGCTCGGGTGTGGTGCCGGTGGTGTGGGGGGCGGGGGTGTGTGTGTGTGTGGGGACTTCTGGGCGACAATGCAAGCCCCAGACCTGTGGGCGGTGTGGATGTAACAGCCCATGCACATCGTCAATAGCAGGTACTGCAGGAAGGATAAAGTAAACGTATAAATGTTGAATATCTAATCCTAGAGAATGCTGCCCGTATGCTCCCTGTGTCCCCCCGTTCTGCCTGGCTCTTCTGTCGGGCGTCTGCCCCCCCCCCCGCAGGCCGCACTCAGTACAGATTCAAGGCAAATATAACCCTGATTGTGGTTGCTGCCTTATTTAAAAAAAATGTATACAAAAGTTAGTAATTTATGACCTCTATTCCTGAATAGGAAGAAACAGCAATACACAGTTACTTTGTTCATACATGAAAAGATAGATCCAACAAACAAAACTATCTGAAACAAACAAAATGCTTCGGCTAGCATAAAATATTATCACCAGGACGAACTGATGATTATAGTTAATTAAATAGGTTAATTAAAAGGTTATTTAGCAACAGTAATGACAAATTCACAATCTAGTGCAAGAAACTTTCATGAAGGGACTGAGGCGTACTACTAACTTAACTTACTACTCTCAAGATTTGGCATACATTCAACTTCGGTAATAGTTCCACTCTTTTGAAAACTAGCCTTTTCATCTACAAAGCAATCATATTTGTAATGCTTGTAATTTTTAAGATTGAAGTATGGGTTTAACGCCTTTTCTTCTTCGTTGAACAATAGGTCGCAATGTTTTGTAAAAATTTATTTCACCAACCACTTATTTACGAGTTTCGCCGCAGTAATGAAGATCCTGGCGATATTAAAGAAAATCACCTTTTTTGCATAAGGGAAGGCGGTTGTGCCACTTTACGGAAGTTGTTTGAGACAGGCAATCTCCTTAGATGGTTTTTCCCTGCCGGTTTAGACATCAAAAGAAACACTAATTTTCTATTTGTATGTATGTCTCGACAAGAAGGCCACTGGTAGACCGGCAGAATTTAAAGAGAATCAAAATAACTAGTGCACTTACACTAAACTGCGACGTTAGGATAAAAAATTTAATTTTCAATTCTATTTCATTGCAACGATTATTAGCTCGGTAGTGTCCATTAGTATCAGAAATAGTCTAGAGTACTTAATTTTTATACATTTGTAATAGATAGATAGATGAAGAGGAGGAAATCGTGATTCACAGTGTTGTGAAGGACTTATAAAAAATAAATTCTTCCTATCACGGACAAAGAAAAGCTCACAGAAACAATAACTGAGGAGACATTGTAAAAGAACTTGAAGCTAAAGATTGAGTTATAACCTCCAGGAGAACAATGGCTCTTACTGATGGACACAGACAGTACAGGCTCATTAGCCACCTTATTTCAAAATCTATTAACCGTAGACTATCAATTATAGCATGTGGAACTTCTCCTACATCGACATTTACAAAAATTTAATATACAAAACGTACTTTTTGATCATACACATGCATACATTCAATTAAAGTGCCGGCTGGTAGCAAGATCTGTAGTCTTCATTGTAATAGTTCTTCGACACCAATGGGTACTACCAAATTACCTAGTGTAGGGTACTACCTACCTTAATAGTGTATCCAATGTAAAATTAACCGTTTATCTGAATTCAAATTATTTGCCTTGCACCACCACATTAGCCACTGGATATATATAAAAAACCCAACAAACTAACAATACCTTAAGCACTTCTAAAAATGCATACTTTTTTTAAACAAGTGAGAGGTTGAAATCGACCTGACATTCAAAGAGCTTTTATTCCTTTACTTTTTCCAGACCGAGAACACACACAAGCATTATTAAAATCTTTTCGCAACTTAGATTGTTTTGATTTGCGTATTCAATAGCTTTATAAATGGTGATAACTTCAGCAGAAAAAAAAGCTTAAATTTGAGAGAACTTCATATATTTTGCTTTTTTTCTTACTGGGCATCATACCAGGAACACCCCGTGCCATCAATAGTCTTTGAATCATTCGTGAAAGTTAAATAAGGATTTGGACAGATGCCCTCAATTTCGGAAACGAAAATCGAATTGACGACAGGGAATTCAGAGATAATGTCACTGATGAGCCGGCATTGCCTCCATCAGGTAGGTTCATTGTTCTCCTGATGGTTATAACTAACCATCTAGCTTTTGCTTTTTTTTAAATTACCGTCAACATTTTTGAAAGTTGCTCTTATTTATTATGTTTGTACGATTTATCTTTTCATTGCCCGTGAAGTTTACAATTTCTTATATAATACAGTAACTGTGTACTGCGTTTCTCCATATTCCTGGCATAACCTACTTAGGCTTTCTATCAATTTAAAACTTAGGTTCTCCAGACTAACTCCAACACATATGGTCTAACAAGTTAATAACAGCATAATACAGTCACATTGTAGCCAATGTAAAATTGATAGTTTATAGTCAACAGATTTAGAGATAGGTGGCTAATGAACCTGCACTGTCTGTGTTCATCAATATGACCCATTGTTCTCCTGGTGGGTATAACTCAATCTTTAGCTTCAAGTTCTTTTGTAATGTTTCCTCAGTTATGGTCTCTGTGTTGAGCTTTTTTTTGTAAGTGAGAGAGAAAGAATTTATTTTTTTTAAGTCCTGTACAACACTGTGAACTATGATTTCTTCCTCTTCATCTGTCTATCTATTATAAATGTATAAAAATTAAGTACTCTAGACTATCTCTGATACTAATGGATACTACCGAGCTAATAATCAATAATACCGCTTTTGTAAAATTAATAGTTTATCTAGTTTTGGAGACAGTGGGTGGTAAGCCTCACTGCGTCCACCAGGCCAGGTAGAACCTCTGTACTCTTGGTGGTTATAACTCTTTCTCTCTCTTCATTTTTTTTTGCTTTGGTAATGGTCAAACATCTCGGCTCAGCCCTTTTTGTGGTTCTTTAACTGAAACGACATTTTTAGACAAAATTTTTGAGGTGAACTTCATTGAATAGCCAAACAGTGATAATTAGAAGAAAAGTGCTCTCAAATACGGGCTGGTATTCAACGAAAAACAAGTATAATTTTTTTCTTTTGACTAAAATATGACTAAAAAATTACTACTACACATATTGCAATGTGGTTCTGTGTGTCATGAGACCCAGGCAAGATGTAAGATGTAATGTCCGGGATGTGTAATGTACCCTTTAAGAGCTTTTTTTGGGCCGCTGGATTCGAACCCGGGACCTTTACCTTACATTGATGAGCGCCTAAACCGTTGCGGCCACCGACGCCCCCCCTTTAAAAGCTATTGTATCCTCAGTTCTGTACTTATAGCACACCGGTGAGTCCTAGTTCATCAAGGAAATCGATTAGTAGGCCCGGTTTCAGTCAATATTATTTCGAAAAAAAAACTAATATAAACATTTCACTTGATAAAAACATTAGTTTTCAATAGTACAATTCGGGGATTAGTAGGTTACGGATCGTAAGTCTGGGGATTCGAGAATTTGCAAAAAATTGAAAAACTACAGAAATATTTCGTTAAAAAATTATTCTTTCACCCAACAAATACACCCGACTGTTTAATACTTAGAAACATCTAACCCACCCGTACACAATTATATATTAAAACTACACTTAACTTACATTACAAACTCTTAATCAGCCTGCAAACCAGTTGACAAATGTTCTGACGAAAGTAATAATTACAAAATAAATTGATATAAAAATCTGTTAGTGTTTGGCAGAAAATAATTATATTCATATTATTGCACCGTTCATATTATTCTCGAGCCTGTATCGGCTGATTGCGATTTATATTCCATAATAAAGTCATAGCGTGCTTATTTAATTTTTTTTAGGGTCCTCTGTCATTGTTGTTCTTAATGTATACAACATGGTGGGAAACTCACATTGACAAGCGAGATGGAGGGGTTAATAACTGTTAGTAGTTTTACAACACATAGTTGGTGAACATGTGGTCCGACAAGGGTAGTAAATCTGTGACTCTGACACCAGCTAGGCCCAACAAATATCAAGAAGGTGACAATTTTTATTTTTAAAAAGATCGACCTAATGGATTAAGGGCAAAGACACAGATATAAAAGATTATTGTATCTATCTATCCTTTGTAATTTTATCAACTTTAAGATTTTAAACGTTATATCCATCCGAATATGTGTTAGGTTCCTTCCACAATGTCCTGATGTGGTTGAAAAAATGAAAATTTCGTAAGCCATTATTAAATAGAAATAACAATTAACCGTTTTTCATATATTAAAACGTCAAATTTATCATCGCTTAATAAAATTAATTGAAGGTGTTTTATTTTTTAACATGGAATTATTAAGACTAATCAGCCTTATTCAAATTTGTTGGTTTATGTTAGACAACCATCTGCATGTTTTTTTTTTTAAATAATAAAATTAAAAACTTTATTTGATTAATATTACATATCATTATGATATTATTACATTTAAAATCAAAAACACATGGAAATTTTCTCTGACATTAACCAAAAAAATTAATTAACAGAAATTATAATTAAGATAACTTTATAGTGCAAGTTCGACAGGCCGAAGAGTTTTGCATGAAAACGTTCCAAATGGTTTCGTCTTCAAAACAAATCATTCCAACCGTGAAATTTACCGCTGTAACATTCTAATTGATTTTATGAAAAATTATGGAAATTATTAACGATTTATGTAAACGTTTCATTAATAATTAATCTTACTTAACCTTTCAGTGTCGATTCTTTTATAATCCCAATAATGATGTCATCATCATTTGGTCAATTTTATTCGGCAAATTAACTGCTGATGTTCAGCTTACATTAATTTAAATTTACTAACAAATGAAAATTCTCAGTAAATACGATTAAAAAAACGAAAAAAATTGAAACACACTGCGCAATACCATTTTTGTTCAATCGAATGTATTTAACTATTAGATCTTAAAAGAAAATTGATTACTGTAGTTTTTGGTCTGTTTTGAGTATTTATTTTAAATTTTGGCACAATGGGTGATTTCTACAGCAAGAAAAAAAGCCCTGGAAAACATATCATTTGTACATAATTAAATTTATTTGTTTATTTCTCCCACAATCTTTATTGTCACGTAGAACAGTTCGAGTTTAAAGTTAAAGCAAGCCTCCATCTGTTAAGTTTCGCACTCGGTTAGACCATTTGGCCGGCAGGACTTCTGAAAGAACAGTTTAGAAGCTTGAAGGCATTGACGGTCCGCCTATCATCGCTGTTTTGATGTCGGAAGACTCAGAATATTGCAAAAGAATCAGACTTAGTCTTTACAAAACATACTCAGTGACAAAAGGATACGGCAGGCTGAATAAAGCAGGCAAAACTATTAAAGTTGGTGAAACGCCTCTGACAAAACAAAAACAGTAAAATTGGGCAGTCCACGACGATTTAAAAGGACCAGATTATAATAGCCAACAGGCTCAATTTGTATCCTTTAAAAGACAATTAAAGAAACATTTGAAACGGAATGGAAAACCCAGACAATCCTTCAATTCACCCACAGACCAAGATCTGACCCCATCCTTCCACCTTTCACGATAAACCTTTAAAAGGATATAACTAACAGAATTATCCTCAGACACTGCAAATGGAGTGTTAAGTGTTGAAACGATTTTCTCATCAAAACAAGACAAACCACAAAACCAAACTACAAGAAAAATAATAGCTAACAGGTTTGAGTTTGGTATACTTTGATTCTGTTTACCAAAGGTGACGTAATTTTATTAAATTTATTCACTTAAAGGTAAAATGTAGAAATATACCTCACAAACTAAAACAGCAAGAATAAGCATAGCAGGGCGATTCGAAAGATCTAAACTACATGAAAATCGATAGTTAAGTCTTAATTTGTTTGCTTTATGAGAAAAAAGTAACTAACGAACTAACTAAAAACTCAGACATACTCTCACTGGCCCCATTCTTTCATCTTTCACGAAGAACAACCAAAAATAGCACGACTAAAAGCATAGCACACAGACACTCATAATGGCCAAGTGCTGAAACACCTATTTGATGAAAACAGCGAGACGTGGCAACCAGTACACATAGAACACTAACCTTTAGCATTGAAAAACAAAACATTATAGTGCATTAGAAATTAATTTTCATCTCAGCCAACTTTTCAAATCAATGTTGAAATTGTTCAAAAATCTGTTGAAATTACAGAGATGGCATCAGATGATCTTTTTTTCTGATATAGCGTACTACATTTCGAAAAGGCAAAATCAACTCCCTGTACCTGTTGTTGATTTTCAACTGATTGTTCATTCATCATGACCAAACCGCACCTTTGCTGTAAAATGTGGTATCCTACGTTGGTAAATTCCAGAACTGGTGTACGTAGCTGCAGAGGGCCTGCAGGTATTATTCTTGGACAAGAGTCTTTTGACCGTTTGTGGCACCAGGAGTTGCTCGCAAAAATGCCAACTTCATAACTGACTTTAACACTATAGACACTCAAATCCACAAAACAGCACTGTTGTAAAATGTGGAATTGGAATATCCTTCTTTGGTAACACCAGAGCTGGTGTACCTCAACGTCACAGCATAGGACTCATGTCTAAGATTCTTGGACAAAATCAGTCTTTTGACTGTGTTTGCCACTATATACCAATCAAAACTTAATTTTGCTGTAAAACCCTACATTTTCTTGCGACGACCTGTGTTTTGGACGCAAATCAAGCTCTTGGCAAATATGTCCCGTTTTCCCTCACCCTTTCGGTTTGAGTTTGTTTAAAGTCCGTACCCTATAGGGTTCACCGGACGTTCGCTCTTGCAAGCCCAGGAAGTTAAAGATCCAGTGTTACCACTTTCTGCCACTCCACGGAAAGATTGAAAAGGGCACCTGTATCTCCGGCTCCGTTTGGGACGTATCCAGATAAATGGAAGGATACTTGGAATCGCCGGTACTCTTTCAATACTATTTTTATGGTAAAACGGGCCGTTTAGTAACAGTGGTTACTCACCAAAAATCAGGGAAACTAGGCAGACCGCGATGGTTCATTTAAAGAATTTCCTCTGTAAAATGAAACATTGCCGGAGTTTTGAAGTTGTGCTGGGCTATTTACTCTGTTATACTTGCTGTTTCTATGTCCTCAAAAACGCGTTTCTTCCATCCAAAGCCATCCACCCTTTTCCTCACTGAAGATGGGGCAAATCCAAAAGGAGTTTGAGTAACACCGAAACCTAAAGAAACCAACGGCTTAATGCCAATTCAACTTACATGTGTTTGTTTTCATCTTCTCTGAAAATTATTTTTTTCTTCCGATCAAAATTTGAAATCGATAGGACCAGGCTTTTGTTTCCGAAATGACAGAAATTTGATTCACTGATTATGCTTTTCGAATTTGACAGAAAGCCTCTATATTTATCAAAAGATTTAAATCTGAACAAAGGTACTCACTGTATATTATCTTGGAAAATGACGGATTTTGCCCTTTTCTCAACAAAATCCTCGACAACTGTTTGTTCAACTCTGTCAAGTTCAATATAAACGGGTTTTTTGGAAATCCGTCTCTGAGCGCACATCACGTAAACTCGCATGTATTATATTCGCGGCCCTCTCTTCCGTTATGAGTTTAGGATGGAACGGGCAAACTTCCGCCAGAGTAAAACCACATTTCCTACACGCTTATTACCTCACCGCACAACTATACCTTTGGAGGGATGAGCCACATGTTGCATCAGGCTATCTGCTAACATTTCAAAAACTAGTTTCATAACAAAATTCAAACAATGCCTTAGCAACAAATTCAAGATTACATCAAACTGGACAATACATGAAAAACTTCAACCTCAAAGTTATGTTATCAAATATGAATCGGATTTGAAACTTTTGATAATAATCATAAAAATTAGAGAAAGTAGTAATCAATGGATATGGAGCACATGGAGAGCGCCCTTAGCAGAAATAAAAACAGGAAATATCAAATTGCTAATTGGGAGATTATAGAGATTACATCAGGTTATTATCGGTCTTGTTGTTTTAAGGGGTTGTCATCTGGATTTTCGTCAAACACTTTTTTTTTATCCTAGCTGTTCGATTAACCCATCTGTTTTCAGCCTTACGACGTAATGAAACACCCTGGACGCGCAACACACAAAAAAAAGGTCTGTAAAAGTGTATCAAATGACCATCGAATCTTGATAAATAATTCATTTTCCATTGACTCGTGCCGCGCACAAAACAGTTGATATGCATTTAAATTGATGGAAATTATAACATGTGAAGGGAGAGGAAACTTCGTAAAATTCCACTGAATAATGCATTGATAATATTTAGCGAAGAAAGGACAAACAGGATAAATCGATCGGCACATCACTCCCGTACAAAACAAGTATCAGACACCTACTTAAATATATTCTAATCAAAATTACCAATATGAATAATTTAGCCTGGAGTAGAAAATGGATTATGATGAGGAACTAAGAAGTACGTCAGCACCTGAGGTGGAGGAATCCACAGCTTGATTTTGTTATATTTAAGCTCTGGGCCTGTAGTTGTTCTTGCAGATCCTCCTCTGGCCAATTTGACTGTTTGTTCATTATTGAAAAAGAAGATAAGATATTGTGAAGTTTTTTTTTACAATGTTTTAGAGCTTTTGGATATATCCACTGGCCGTTTTGTTTCCTCGATCATGTAGAAAGACCCTATTTCGATGAATGGCTGTTAGATTTGATGAAAGGATCTATAATTAAATGTTTTCATTTTTGACTAAAATTTCCTAAATATTTTATTTTTTCATAAAGAAATGGTAATTAAGATTAGAATACTCAAGAATAGTACATTTTTCAAAGAGCTTAAGGACGTTTTTAGATTGGAATATCAATCGTTTTGTCCTTTTCCCGACTGCGAAATAAAAAAAGGGATTGAAAGGCCAATATTTAAAAGTCCATCCGGCGCCTGAGGGCTTGTCGAATTACTTTTTAAGGACCTCCTATTCAAGAAGAATTCAAATTTTCTTCTTATTTTTTATTGTTTAATTATATTTATATTTTGTTATTTTTCTAAAGCAAGCCAAAAAGAGTAATATATATAATATATAATTTGTATATATAATTTGTTTTTATTTTTGAAACTTTTGTATTAAAAAAATCTATTTTACATAATAAACTTTATTAATATGTATGTATGTTTCTTAGTGACCTGTTGTTTCATAATTTGTTGAAGTCGTGAGAAGAGGTCAAGAATGAGGTGGTTTATAAAAACACCTTTTTCATTTTTTTGCCGACGTTTACACCTGAAGATGATTCGAATAAAGGTCGAAACGTCGGCAAAAATTAAAAGGGTGTTTTTCTAAACTACCTTTTTCTTGGCCGCTCCTCACGACTTTAACAAATTAATATGTATATTGCCAGTTAAAATGAGAAATAAGTCAAAGAAAAATTCCAATTATCAATGTCTTTATATTTATAAGCTGTTTTTATATTTACTTGGCCTAGTTCCCCACAAGGTATTCACACAAACTGTGCTAATCATGTTATGTGTGTTAAAATCGAGAGATTTTATGATGAGAGTACGGATAGTACACTCGACACCGGCACGTTATACGGTGTACTATTGTGCTATTTTTCAAACTCTTTTCAATTTATGCCTTGCTTATACTGACGTTCACAAAAGAATCACAAAAGGAAAAAGAAGTTAGATTTTAGTTAACAACCACAACGCATAGTAGACATTATGTCTATCTCCCTTGACTAAAGAAATCCCACTGGTTGTTCTTGGATATACACCAAGTCTTTGACAGCACTCTGTACTATCATGGAAGCTCAAGAGCATCTTACCAGCAACCTATTACCTTATCCTAATATTCTATGTTAATGTTACTTCCAAGTATCCCATAAAGCTTCATTTTTTTCTTATCCATCCTATTTTAGCAGGTATCCCATAGCTCCTCTGCTAATGTCAGTTGCATATCCTCGAATCCTTGCTCCGACAGTGAAGAATTAAGGTTAAAGAAACTAAATCCAGGTAACCTCGTTGTGTTCACTTTGGGACATTTGAAAATTTAGGCACTTCTGGACAAATTGGGAACTAAGCATGTGCTTTTAGTGATTTTATAGCTCCCTGTCCGAAAGTATGTTGACCCATGCACTCTTCATTTTCTTCTTTATCCACTCCTGTGCACAGAGTTGGATTGCATGGACAGCTTGGAATATAGTTAGATATTTAGATTTAGAGATTTAACATTGAATGAAAAAGAGGTCCATGAGACCTAATTCTGCATCTCTAATTAAAACGACATCTGTCTATCTATATTCCTGAAACTTGAGGTTGTCTTGTTTCCAAATATCTATGCTATCTATACGTACTAAGAAGGGTCGGTCAAAGTTGAGTTTTCCTCTCATTTTGTCAGATCGTTACGGCGAATCGTTTGAGGGTCGAACCTATGATCATGTAAGCCAAACCCAGTCGTAGGCTTTATGAGCAATACCCTGTCTTCACAGAAATCAGAAGCGCGCCCAAGATGTCTAACAATTAGCTAAAGTCAGTCCATCCAACATCAGCGACTTTATATGCTTGATCGTCAACTCATGGTTTGACCAAATAAACTTACGCCTGAGTATTTCTTCTGCAGTTATACATTACGTGAGAAACATTTTTGAAAAAATTGGCTCTAACTTTGTCTCTAAAAATGATGTAGGATGTAGATAGGCAAAGCAAAATGTGTTTTAACAAAAAGCCGAAACACCTGTTCAACCTCATTATATTGCCCAAATTGACTCATCTGAGATGAATAGGTACATCTAAACGCTAGACTTCACAAAAAAGTTTTAACTTTGCTGAAGCTGGTAGTCACTAAACGCAATTTCCAATTTTGGGAAGAATTACACCTAAAACCTTATAGATATTGACGATGGTTCTTGTCTTTACAGTTGAGGTTTATATCGTGCATAACCTAATCGTAAAAACCATCATCCGAGTCTTATTTGAATTGACCTCCATGACACATTGTGCACAGAACTTCTTTAAAACCATTAGTGAAATATTAGTCTTCTCATTCACCACGTATAACCCCCATCATCTGCATACAGCTGGGTCTTAATTAATACATTAGTAATTGTACACCTTTGGTAAGGCAGTCAACGAGATATAATGTGAACAATAGTAGTTTCAGAAGGCACCCCTGACATACATCTGAATTAAAGAACTCCGAGAATACCCTGATCACACACTCTGTCTGAAATTCATCTTCCGGCTGCTGTTTTATATTGAAATATTTTCACACTTTGGTCTATTGTTATATATGCTGCTTTAACGAATGCTAACAAACACCAGGACGAATGTTTCTAAGTAGCGTTCACCCGGTTGGAGTATCTTCACCCACTGAAGCAGTTTACTCGAATACAATTCGATATGTCTTTTCTATCTTTGGGACATTATATAACCACCTCCAGATACTTTTCATATAAGCGTTCCATCTTTTTTAATACATTTGTTGCTGAGATGATTGAAAAGCCTACCACCATCGGATATGACCATTGCTGTCCTCAATACACGGGAATATAGCTCACTATGTTGCACAGCCTCAATAACAGTTCATCAGATCTGTGCTAGATTGAGTTTTTATTTGTCTTTTCACTCTATTTTTCTTTACCGAAAGATGGAAGCCAACAAATAATGGTCTTAATAATGCACTTTCAAGGAGCATAGAACTCAATAAGGAATTGATCGTATTTTTTTCCAGATGAAGACGAAAGGAGCAACGTCTCAATTAAGTACCTCGAAACGTTTCAGCAATCGATCGAAGAGCCGGACAAGTTCTGGGGAAAGATCAGCGAGAAAATGGACTGGTCCACTCCTTGGACAAAAGTTATCGACAACACGGACGAACCGTTCACCAAATGGTACCGGAAACTTTAAACCCAGACTGAAAATATGTTACCAAACCGCCATTGTCCGTAGGTTCATCGGAGGAGAGCTGAACGCCTGTTACAACGCCGTGGACCGACATGTCAAAGCAGGAAAAGGCAACAAAGTAGCTTTGATCCACGACAGCCCCCTCACAAACACCATTAGAAAAGTCACTTACAATGAACTTCTCGAAAAGGTAATTGTTTATGAGCTATGAGCTTTGGCGTTTAATCAGATGAGTGATTTATAGGTCTCAAGACTGTCAGGAGCTCTCGCCAGTTACGGAGTCAAAGTAGGTGACAGAGTTTTAATATACATGCCCTTGATTCCAGAAACTATTATAGCAATGCTGGCAACTGTTAGATTGGGAGCAGTTCACTCTGTCGTTTTCGGAGGTAATTAAATTACAGTTGAAATAAAAATTATTAGATAGACCCAAAATTAATAAGCTAGTAATTGTAAAACTTCCTCTGTATATCAACTTTCCGTGTGATTCTTGAGTACGTAACACGGTATTTTCAGCAATCCAAAGAACATTCAGTACCACTCTATTAAGCAGCAGCACAACCACTTTAAATCAGAAACGTCGGAGAGTTCTCTACCGTAATGTACTATGGTGACAGCCTATAGTAAGCTAAAGTGCTCCAGCAATGATTCAGCCAGGCAGTTGCCAACGAGCTATAAGCTTTAAGCGCCCCGGTATATAAGCAGGTGCACAACCAGCGTCCAGCTGGCTGCTTAGTGTAAACTCGCCGACGTGATCTCATCCATCACTCACTAATGGAGCAAACCGCTAGCGGTAGCTACAAGAGCAAGGGTACTCTCAACAACAAATGTGGCTGCCAGCTACCCGAGGCCAATCGCTCGCTACTGACATTGGTTACATCATCCGGCTCATCTACACCCGCCACCGATATCTCTGTCGTCCACCAAATTCGGCTTCAAAAACCATGAACTCACACGACAGCGCACGCCACGGTACAGCCGACTTGAATAGTAGCGGTTGCTTACTCGACAGTCTACGGCGCTTAACAGCTCCATAACCCCACAACAACCATTACAAGTCCCCGGACGCTAAACTATGTTATCTGCATAGCAACAGCAGCTACATGATTAAAATTGGAAGAACGGAATCCTGAAGGAACGAGCAAATTCTACGTGTTCGAAGGAGAATTGTGCCAACCCGAATTTCTTTATTAAATAATCGTATTCAAACTTTGTTACAAGTGTAGGGCGGACCTGGCCATATGGGCTTCCAGGAAGAGCATTGTGCTCTTGAGGGATGCTTCGATTCAGCACTTGAACTTGGAAGCAATGGGTGAACACCAACGAGATGGAAGTTACTATCTACCCGTTTTTGAGACATTAATCTGATGCAAACAGTGCAACAATTCTTAGAATGGTGCTCTATTACTACTCTGGTCGCAGCACAATAAAACACCTCCAACAAAATAAAGTGCTTCTCTCGGCACACTTTCAGTGGCCTATAAATATATGACCTTCAATGGAATATTTACAAATCTTGCTGTTCTGGGAGCTGCTTAAATTCAGTACTCAGAACATTGAAGCTGTGGGTAAATACTAATGAGATGGAATTGGCAATCTAAACTAGTACTTAGCCCTCAAAGTAAATCGAAGAAGTAAGAAACGGGGCCGTTGGTTTGATGCAACCAGATACAGCAACTTGATTCTAAATTCAACTGGTAGAAGCACATTAATAAATTAACTATGCAATGGAAATGGGGTGCTTCTCTCAACATACTTTCAATGAAGTAATTGGTGGGTGTTGGTCTGTGAGTCAGTGATCACATATTGAAATGGCACGGGGTCTTTCTTTTTAATTTTATAAGCCAATGTGTAATATTGATCTTTAAAAAAATTCTATGCTGGAAAACACAGTCACACAAAATAAAGCACTTAGATTTGTTATTGGTGGCACTAAGTCAACATTGTTGAAGTTCTATTTCATATCTATATAAAGGCACATTCAGGTATTGAATCACTGGAAGAAAGAAGACTTTGATATCTATGAAAAGCTTAAAAGAAGGACAGTACCATAACAAAAAAGTGACCATCTCCAACCTAAGAAGACATTTCAAGACAATCTCTAGTGGACTTCATATAGCCCAACTACCTCTCAGAAATTTATTATACTTGGATCTTTGTATCTTTATAAAGGAAGGAAGTTACCTCAGGGAAGACATTACAGTTGTAGATACAACCATGTATTGGATGGCTTTATTCAAGGTGTTAATAGAAATGCAGGAGAATTCATAGTAATGGAAAATTTGTTCATGTAATAATACTAATTGTTTAAAGGACATTTCACATAATGTTTTTATTTTTAATAATAAATGTATTTAGGGTTTGCTGCAAGAGAGCTGTGTACAAGAATTGATCATGCTTCCCCCAAAGTCATAATCGGTGCAAGTTGTGGCGTAGAACCTAATAAAATTATAAGGTAAAATAATTTCTAGGAAACAATTGTTTTAATGTTCGATTTCTTGTTGTTGTTATACTGATTTGTTTTAGATATAAACTACTTCTGAACGAAGCTATCTCGTTATGCACAGAGAAGCCGAAAAAATGTATAATATTCCAACGAAAAAATGTACAAGAGTGTCTCTTAGAGCCGGATATGGATGTTGACTGGGAGGAAGTGTTGAAATACAGCGAACCCCACCCTTGCGTCCCTGTGGAGTCAAACCACCCTATGTATATTTTGTACACCTCTGGTACCACAGGTAAAACCAAAATTCTGAGCCTTATAAGAGATTTTTATACAAAACAATTTTTTGGTGGGACAGGTCATCCAAAAGGAGTTCTCAGATTAACAGGAGGTCACTTAACCATGCTGACATGGACCATGAAAGCTATTTATAACATGACCGAAGACGACGTTTGGTGGACAGCCTCTGATATGGGCTGGGTCTTGGGGCATAGTTATATCTGCTATGGGCCTCTCTGTGCTGGTGTAACATCTGTCATGTATGAAGGGAAGCCAGACCGAACTCCACATCCTGGACAATATTTTCGGTATAGAAAATCCTAGCTGTTGCTAATGGGAAAGTACATCTGTAATCCTTTTTCTTCTTAATTGTTTCAGCGTCGTGCAGGAGCACAAAGTAAACGCTGTGTTTACTGCACCAACAGCGCTTAGAGTCATAAAGAGAGCCGATCCACTTTCTAATTTTGGAAAGAAATATTCTACTAAGTCGTAAGGATTTCTTTTATAATATTTTTTCTTCTTTTAAATTATCCAATTAACAATTGGACTTGGATTAATTAATAGAAAATTTATTTGTAACTAGAACAAAGTATTAGTCTGAACTGTTCATAATGCCATTTTCCAAAGAAAAGCTCCTTTCTTCATCTTTGATTTCTTGAAAGTTCAATCTTTAAAGTTTAATTTAATTAAGTTTAATTTGGTATTAATTGTATATTTACTATCTTGAATACTTTTTATGTAAATTCAAACATTCAAGTGCAATATTATGACATACTGTAGTGCAAATTTGTAGGTTAAAATATATATTTGTGGCTGGAGAACACTGTGATCAAGAGACAAAACTTTGGGCAGAGAATGCTTTTAAGGTAAAATTTCAAAATTAAAACAATCCAAGTAATTGGTAAATAAATAAATTGGTCATAAATTTTATAATTATTTTAGGCCCCAATACTCAATCATTGGTGGCAAACTGAAACAGGATCATCGATAACATGTACAGCAATTGGACTGGGTAATTCTTTGAATGTGCCAAAGTATACAGTTGGACTTCCCTTTCCAGGATATGATGGTATAAAAGAGGAAAACATAAATAAATATAATTTTTCAAACATCATTTTCACCCTAGTGAGAATTGTGAGGAAAGACGGGACTGAGTGTGCACCCGATGAACTCGGCCAGATTGTCATCAAACTCCCCTTGGCACCAGGAGCCTTTTCCACGCTTTACAAAGACACTCAAAGATTTCTAGACATCTATTTCAGAAGCTACCCTGTGAGTCGATACAAAACCTCCAGCTATATCTTATGGTAATTTTTATAATTGTTTAACTAGGGATTCTACGACACAAAAGACGTTGGATACAGAGATGTCAACGGTTACTTTTACATCACAGCAAGAGATGATGATGTGATTAATGTAGCAGGTCATAGGTTGTCGACATCTGCACTTGAAGATGTCGTCTTGTCCCATCCAGATGTGGCAGACACTGCTGTCATTGGAGTTCCTGAAAGTACTAAAGGCGATGTTCCTCTTTGCCTTTACGTTCTCAAAAATGGTAACTATATTAGTACTCTTTTAAGTAAAAAAACCTCTTTAACATTTTTTATTATACAGGTTCCATTAAAAATGAGGAAGAAATCAACCAAGAACTCGTAAAATTAGTGAGAGAACTTATAGGGCCCATAGCGGCTCTTAGGATCTGTGTCTGTGTATCAGCTCTACCTAGGACAAGAAGTGGAAAAATACCTAGAAAATCAATTGCTGATCTTGCAAGGAATAAACCCGTAACTGTAAGTATTTGACTTAAAATGGGGTTAGACTTCTGATTTCATATGGAAACAGTATGGTGACCAAAAACCTTGGAAAATAAAACACATAATCACTTAAAGAAATTACAAAGCTTAGCAAGTCTTAACATTACAGGAACAATGCATACTTCAACTTTAGCAATGAAGTGGTATGGATGTGAATAACCTCGAAAGAGTAAACAGAGCCATAGGTCAAAATGAAATACGTAAAGTTAAGAGAAAGCCACAATCGCAAAAAGAATAACAATTAATGAAAAGGTTACCAAAATTGTGTGGGGGCCAGAGCTAAAGATCCAAATTTTGACATAGAGAAACTTCTAGTAAACCCACCAAAAATTTTTCCACCTAAAATCTGTGCAATAGAACTCTATGCAAAAGAAATACTTAAAAAAGGATCTAAAAGGTGCACAGATACGTATCCTCAGACAGCCAAGCAACACTTAATGCTTGGCATGTCTATAGACTCCTCCACCTTCAATTAAAAGCCGGTCAAGGAATGCCTAACATATATCCAATTCCTGAGAAAAACACATCTCTGATGAGGGTATCAGGCCATGAGGAGAAAGAAGGTATCAAACAAACTGATAACTTAGCAAAAGCAGGAGCAGCCCTCACTCTTTTGACCACCCAAACCACATATAATCTAAAAGCAAAACTGAACAGCTTTTGTTCTGAGACATACATGCTTCAACAAATGATGCCTCTACATGTGAAACAAGTGAGATTAGGTAGACCAGAAATTAATGTACAACTACAACTTATATCTACTTGAAGTCATACATTGCCCTTTTGGACTACATAGGATTAAAACTTATATCTACTTTAGTATCATAAAATTTAATTTCTAAAAGACATTTATCCTTAAATGCTTTAAAAGTAGTTGACAGTAGTTTTATCAATTCAGCTCTTCCTGTCATCACATTTGGTTGTTAGTCATATGTGCCTCAGCATCAGTAACACATTTTAATAGAAAACAAGCGAGAATTGGTGGACAAGAGTACATAATGCCAAAAAATTTAAACTTCCACCTACTTGAGGTAAAATACTCAAAAGGACACAAGCTCACAAACTAGCAAAAGCAGAAGCAGCCTTCACACCCTTTGGTTCAGAACCACAAATTGGCACACCGCAAAACTTGCTAATAACTGAACAAATGGATGGAGAAAGAAATGTCTACACACTGGATGTATTCTATATTCTAATATTCTAATATGCACATCTCAACCAGGAAAACAAACATCTACATCTCTAAGCAAGCAAGAATAAAGAAAAGGATGAATGCTGAAAGAAGTATTAATAAAGCTGAAGTATGGAGCACAATTTGCCTAACAATTAGTGAAGAAAAAACTAAGTGCATGGTGACTATGAGGTTAGGTGTAAATGCTTTGAAATATCTTGTAACTGTCCTGATCTCAAAAAATTAGGTGGTACATAGCATAAGAGGTTAGTTATAATAGGTTATAATATAGGTTAGAAATAGATAATTAAGGAAGATATTCTGAAATAAATTTCACTCAGAACAGCAAAAGTCATCATTTATAGGAAGTGCTTGAGGCAGTAGTCACATAGAAACAGAAACTTGGATAAATGAGTAAATTGCTGGGAGAGAAAGATGTTAAGGGTAATTTTTGGGCCAGCAGTGGAAAAAAGCATTTACAGAACCCATAAAAATCAAAACTGGAAAAGTATAAGAATGAAGATCAGTAACAACTATAAAAAAAAGGCAGATTTTGCTGGTTGGGCCACCTCTATAGAGTGGAAAACGACAGGTACAACAATTGTGGAAATTCAACACTAATGCCTAGAAAAATTAACTTAAACTTTAACTTAAAGGGTAGTGCATTTTCAGGAGTATGAAAATACAAAAGTGTCAATTCTATATTAGATCTTTTAGATAGGAGTGAATTATAATCACCAGTTACCTGGGGAGGGGGTATTACTTTAAGGTTTTTAATATTATTAATAATATATAACATTTTTGTAGATCTCAGCAGCTATTGAAGATCCGACAGTGTACAAGGAGATAAAGAAAGCCCTACAAAAAGTAGGCTATGCCACAACAGCCCCGGATCTACTCATTTCATAAACAATTATGTTTAAATTTTACATAATTATTTAATATTAGATTATGATGAAATGAGAAAATGTAAAAATGCTAAAGCTGATTGGATGGTTTTTAGGTTTTTTCCTTATGTACAAATATATATTTTAAAAAATTGTAACAATGATTCCAGTAGCGAATAATGGGTGTCTGAATTTTGGAAAATGCAATTCACATTGTTTGTACATAGAGGAAGAGTCGAAAGAATGTTGTACAGAGTTATTTATTGTTATTTTGCACAAAATCGCACACATCAATACTCTTGTTAAATGTGGAGCAATTGCATTGTTATTATTTATTCAAACCGCTTCATAAATTAACAACAGAAAAATAAATATTATAAAAGTATATTGAATTTTTCTTTAGCCTTATAAGCGCTTGTATCATTATTTTATCAGTTTATTTCTGATAAGAGAGAAAGAAACATTTCTTTGTAAAAGTCTAAAATTGTGGTATACCTGCCAGGAGTCCGCATTTGATTGGCAAAGGCTTGTTAAAATGTGCAAATAAATTGAAGATTTACAAATGATTCAATTTGTCATTTAAAAATCCGCTATGCTTACTTTAAATGTTGGTAAGTTGAATGAAATTTTACATCATTTTGTGCACAATTCTACAAATTTAAAAGTATGTGTTGTCCCAATAAACTATGTGCACAGAGTCAAATATTGAACTTTTCAGAAAAACAGTCAAAATGATACAGTTATTCTTATCATATTTGATGTTTTATATTCAGTTTATATATAAAATATATCTTTGAGGGCAATTTAAAAATCTATGCATATCACACTTGTACAGTCAAAAATCCTGTGATGTTTAGTTAAATGTTATTTATATATGTTTATGTTTTACAATTGTGGTTTATTGTGGTTAATTACAAAAAATAAAATAAAAAAAATATTAAAAAAACAGAAGTTAAATTTTTAATTATTCCCCAAAATTGAGTGTAAATTAAATCTTACGCAAATTTATTTTAAAGATACTGCAATTAACTGAATAATATGATAAATATATTTTGGATTAAAGTAAAAAAAAAATTAGACAATCCGGACAAGTACTGGCTTAAAAAATTAATATTTTCATGAAAATTTAATAACACCAAATAGAAATATCAAAAAATCAGCTGAAAGTATTACATAAATAAAATGTACATTTGGTTGATGACAAGTCTTTTTCTAATAGTTTATAAATTATTATAATATTGGATTATTAATAGAACAACTTAAATTGGTTTGGAAAAATAAAATTAGGTTTTGAGAAAGTCCAATTTAGATTGAAAAAAAGTTTAATTAGATCTGTAGACACAGTTAACTGTCAAGAAATATGTGCGCCAAGGTTGTAACCCCTCATTAAGCGAGGTTTTCCTTCTTCCTCTTTAAGTGCAATTCATTTCCACAAGGTGGTTTGACAAATTGAATATTAATAGTAATACAATAATTTACTTGTACGGTTAACAAGGCAGGTGAGCCACGTGTTTGGCAAGATCAATGAGTGGCATATCAATTAAAAACAGAGCTATAATTTAAATTCAAGGGATTCTAATCCGAATGTCAGGGGTTCGAGTCCTGCTCGTGATACTAATTTTTCATCTCATCTACGCTTTGCATAAAAATATGTAATCAATTATCTAAACATTTAAATTAAATTTAAAAATAATTTGTGTTTTGTTGTTGGACAATAATTGCATCAAAAAGTTCAATTTGATTTAGAAGAGGGTGCATTACACAAAGAAAATTTATAATAATTTGGAAAAAGTTCAAGATGATTTTTTAAATTTCAATCTTACATGTATTTGTATAATTTAAATAATGTTTGTAAATCCCAGGCACTGAAGATGATCTCAATAAAGATCAAAATCGAAATCGATAAAGAAAATGTTTTTCTAAACCTTCATCAAACAAGACCACATTCCACAATCTCCAAATAATCATTAACTAACGGTCACTAAATACTACAGAAAAAAAGTTATAATAATCAGTGTTTGCATTTTAGTAATATAATTGTCATACGTTGTAATTTATATAGGTAAAGATTGACGTAAATAAATAACACCTACCCAAGAACCATTTGTTTGTTTGTTTCTATTGTACGTTTTGTTTTATTGATACGTATATAGTTTTGCTTTTGTTCTATTGATATGTATGTCCTACAAATTTATAAAATCACAACAAAAAGAAAAAATGTATATAAAAATTATATTGTCAAATTTTTAGTAAATAAAATAATAATTTTTTTCTCTTCATTTTAAATTATAATTGTAAAATACATTGTAAAGACCAAAAGAGTCTAAATCATAACAAAAGTATAATGAGAACTGTATAACTCATGTTAAGGGTAAGAATGGTCCAAGAGAACTTACTTTGCATGATTAAAAAAACCATCCATCAATCAATCAATCTCTCTCGAGAAAGTCTAAGTTAATTTTGTTGAGAATTTCAGGTTTATGAAAAGTGAGGAATAGTGTGGGAGTGGGAACCGTTTTGACAATTACAGTTTTCAAGACTTTGGACACTGAGATTTGAGGTACACAGGATTTCTGATTCTGGACAATTTTTTAATTCATGGATGCTCATGGAAAAGTTTAATGAAAGATGCAATGAAAATTTTGCTTTGATGTTTTCATGCATTCTGTTTTGGACGTTTCAATGATCACTTTCACGGTCAATATCAAGTCAAATGGATTCATCAGTAGCAATTTAATAGAGTTTCTGGGGGCATAACTTTTCAATTGCAAACTTTAAAGGAACTGAAGTTTTTGAGAGATGATTATTCAGAGATCATGAGATGCGGTCTGGTGTGACGTAGGTTTTAGAAAAACATTTTCTTTATCATGCCAATGTTTCGATCTTCATTGAGATCATCTTCGAGCTCAAAGTGTCAATAAAGATCGAAACATTGGCACGATAAAGAAAATGTTTTGCTGAAACCTACGTTACACCAGACCGCATCTCACGATCTCCGAATAATCACTTACTAATGGAAACTAAACACCACACATTTTTGAGATTTTCATTTTCATTTTCTGAAGACATGACAAGAAATTTACACCATTTCATTTTCATATTTATAAGAGGAATTTTATCTGGGGGTCAGTATTTGAGACGGGGCCAGAGGCCTCCATCATGATAGGTGAAACTAAGTAAATAAAAGAAGATTGGAAGTGTAAACTAAAACTGAAAAAAAAAATATAAAGAAAATATGTAAATGAACTAGATTTAATACTCCCTGAAAAGAAGGACTGCAGGATCAAGTAGATATGCTCCGATATTTTCCGTTCAGATGATAAACAAAGACTGAACTTTACTTTAAAACCATAAAACTATAAAAAATAATTTCACCATTGCCGCCATTCAAAATGGCGCCAATTTTGTAGAGAAAGAAAAAAAAACACGGGTAGAAACTTTGAAACAAATAGCAAAATATTTTAAGAAGGTGGCATCATATGATAAGAATAAAAGCATTATTTTTCCATTAAACAGTATTAATATTTTATCCAATAAAGCAGAATAAAAAATAAATACGTTACAGTTTTGATAATGATGGCAATCGCAATGCAATTTAACATTACGATCACCGGCTAAAGGTTAAGTTTGTTGAGAGGTTACACCGTGTTATACATTTTTGTGTGATTCACCGCTTGCTTGTTGTTATACAATTGTATAAAAGTTTTATAAAAAAAAGGACGGAGGGTGAAAAAGTGAGGGCCGACGTGGTATGAGCACGGCCAGGGAGTCGAAGATGCCGCCAAAACAGAAATTTCAGGAAGGTGAGAAAGTGCTTTGTTACCACGGTCCCTTGATTTACGAGGCCAAGTGCCAGCAGGCGAGGTACGACGAGAAGGAGAAGACGTACCAGTACCACATCCATTACTCAGGGTGGAACAAAAGTTGGGACGAATGGGTCCCGGAGGCGAGGGTACTGCACTTCAACGAGTCCAACCTCCAAAAACAGGTCGAACTGAAAAAAGCTCAGAAGGCCGAGACTAAGAGCAAGAAGAAGAAGAGTACGACTGGGAAAGAGAAGAAGGGTGATGAAGACGAAACCTTTGAAGAAAGGGGTAAGAAGAGGAGGAGCAAAGTTGAGTCGGATGGCTCCGATCAACTGTTGACAGCCATCAACATCAAAATTGGCGAAGCACTCCAAGACCATCTCGTCGAAGACTGGTCGAGAATAAATCTCGAAAATAAACTCGCCAAACTGCCCGCTACAGAGACAGTCGATCGTTTGATCGAAAGCTATCTGGCCGACAGGAAGAAAAAAGAAAGCTCTTACAATCTTCACATACACCAAGAAGTTGCATACGGGGTCAGGGAATATTTCAACGTAATGATCGGGACGCAACTCCTTTATGAACCCGAACGGGACCAATACGATGAGATTTTAGACGAGTATGGTGAAGAAGAAAATATGAGTAGCATATATGGTGGCATCCATTTGGTCAGGATGCTCACACGCCTCGGATGGTGCATGGGCTACACAAAATTCGACGAAATCAGTGTCGACTTCCTCATCACCAACATCAACGATTTTATTCATTTCCTCACTTCCAAAGCTGGGACAATCTTCGCAAATGACAGCTACACGTCTGGACAGGATGACGACTGAATTAAAACTTTTCTTACTAACCGACTTTTCTTTTTAAATCTTTTAAATTGAATTCAATACTTATATATAAATGTACAAACTTGTAACATATTAAATTAAATGAGACTGATTGAGGGCTAACCAGCCTTGCATTTCTCTCATGTTCAGGAACCATTTAGCGATATTGAAAACATCATTTGTTTATTTCGATAATTTAAAATTTATATTCATTATATATAAATTTTTCAAATAGTTATTT